AAGATTTCAAAACCGACCTTCGTTTCCAGAGCTCTGCCGTTATGGCCCTGCAAGAAGCCAGCGAAGCCTACCTTGTCGGTCTCTTCGAGGACACCAACTTGTGCGCTATCCACGCCAAACGTGTCACCATCATGCCCAAAGACATCCAACTCGCCCGTCGTATCCGTGGCGAGCGTGCTTAAATCGTATGCCTAGCATACACAAACCAAACGGTTCTTTTTAGAGCCACCACATCCTTCAAAAAGAGAACTACCGTTATCACTGTGCCGTACTATTTGTTAATAATGTATTTACAATACATGCCATTTTTAGTAAATAAGTCATTAGCAAGTCCACAAAGCCAATCACAAGCAGTGATTGTGATGTAGCCTGAGCATATTTGGTTGAAGCACTAAAAAAATGTGTAACCATCAATCATTGTACTGAGTTTGAATGAAAGAGAAACAGTGCACTTCTCACAATACCGGTATCTTGTATAATTCAAAGTTTGAATGCAATCTCTGATATATGTTCTGAACACTTTTACAGACATCAATTTTAGAAAGAATGGCTGTCAACACAACCTACAGTATGAAATACATACGAGTATAGTGCAAACTCTTGACTGAATCAGGACCAGGTGATATGGTATAAGTGAAGAATCAGCATGGATGTGATCATCATGATCCTCATACAATGTTTGAATAAAATTGGCCTATTCATGTTCCAGAAACGGTTCTCGACACTTTTACAGACTGCAAATTTAGGATTTTAGACAAAATATTTATTGGTTCGAAAAATAAGATCAACTCATGAAATAAGACATTCTACTGTATTAACTACGAGTACATTTTTGTATAGTGTAAACTTCATATATCATGATGAATCAGCATAGACAGAAATAAAAATAAAATGGCTGACAGTCATTTTTGTTTGAATCTTGAAAAAATATAACATACAAATGTACTTGAATATGCCTGATCCTCACTGACTAAATGTTAAGTGCACAATGAATTTCATGAAGGCATATATTTTTTATATAAACAAACTCCATGTCATTTTATTCATTAAATTACATAATAAATTACTGGTACATATACGTGATAAATAGCATCATCTAACGTCAACCACTATTCTCATCCATTTCTCAAGTTCAGCTCAGGTCACTGGGTCAGTCAGTAAGTCAGTTTTATATTTCCACACAAACCAACCAAGATTCTACATTTGCAGGGTTAAAATATAAACAAATCTTGGGAGATATCAGTTGAAGAGAAGTCTGCTGACGAATATTCTTCATTTACTCCATTAGTGTACTTAAACCCAATATTACATATCGCTGTATGCTGGATTATTAAAATATGACATATTTTGACATGCCATTCTCATAAACATATGAGCAAATATGGTAACCTTAAAAACAGATTTTTCAGAGTAATTTAGTAAGGTATCTTCCATTCACGTTGACACTCGTATATAAGTCTGAATCATAGAACTCTAGATCATCACACAAAATAGACATAGAACCGCCATCTACAATTTTCTCACATTTTTGAAGAAAATTTTCAATATGATTATTCAGTATGTTGATATCTTGGATATGATCTGAGGGAGGAGAAATGATGACTTGTCCCATACATGGCAACTGCACACATGCTTTGAGAATCTTCAGAAGATCAATTTCAGTGAGATCATTTCCTGCAATTGACAGTGTCTGGAGATATGGGCAATTCACAATGGCGTGCACCAGTCGATTTGCTACACCTGGAACCAGACCCAACTTGCAAGTATTCATCCATAAATGTTTGAGAGTTTCTGAACAGTTGATGATCAACGTGAATGCTGACTCGGTGCATTCTGACAGTTTGTTGTTGCTTAGTAGAAGTTCCTCCATTTCTCTTGTATGTTGGCATGTTGCCAGGTAAGCGATATCTGCCGCCGACAATGTGCACATTCTCAAATCGAGGTACTGTAATGAACGTAAAATACCTTTCAACAGTTTTCGTAATGATCCGCCAATCCAATTATGATTCAAGTCAAGTCGCTTTAGTTGACTGAGTTTACTAAATAAGTCGACAAAATTGCTGTCATTTTGCTCTACAACGCGTAGGTCATGGGAGAATTTAATGAGGTTGTAGCTAACACCCAAGGCACGTAAATTAGACAGCTTGGATATCTCTGGTATAACACTTATCAGTCCTTCATACTGAAGCATGTTCATACTGATATTTACTCCACAGCAATACTAAAAAGAAAAAAAAACATATGAACAACATATTCATATCAGTGACGAATCTTGTTTATAATTAATTTTTTAAATTAACATTGATTTTGACCAAAAAAGACCAAATTGCTCTCAAAAACTAAAATTTACTGAAGCTTATTCATGAAAAATAGAAAAATCACAAAAAAAGTGCTCAACACCTACCGTACTCTGGGTGAGTGGGCCATATACTTAATGAGAAGGTCCAAATCTACTGGGTGAGATCCATTCACTACTGGATACGACTTTGTGTGAACTTTGATTAACATTTTGTGTTGGACTGATTGCCCATGGCCTGGTTGACGCCAGGATATCCAATAAATTGCAATTGCAATGACAGCAATTGAATATCATACTCTTTCAAAATCCATTGTATGTATATTGTTACTAGCAATTTGCACAAAAGTTAGTGAAAGTTAATTTGACATACCTTTGGATCTAGCTCACTGAGAACTTGGCGGGTCATCTGAGGCCCTATGCTGATACAAGACGTGTTACAGCATTTCATACTGACAGGGCACACAGAATGAAGTCTCAGTGCTGCAAGAACACCAAGGCTATTTTCTGAATCAATCATGCCATCTATGAGAATTTTTAGGGGGTCTGAAATTTGGAAAAGGGAAATGCATCAAATGAACAAGGCAAAGGTTACAAATACTAAAACTTGGCACACTGGTGTAAAACTAAATTTGTCAGTGGTTGGAACAATTCAGCATTAACGTTTCTGTTTATTCTGTTTACATCACATAATAATGAATTTAGGTACATCGAATAATGATGAATTTACATCACATAATAATGAATTTAGGTACATCGAATAATGATGAATTTACATCACATAATGATGCATTTACATTTCATAATGATGAATTTACATCACATAATGATGAATTTACATCACATAACAATGAATTTACATCACATACCGGTGATGACGAATTTACATCACATAATGATGAATTTACATCACATAATGATGAATTTACATCACAGAATGATGAATTTACATCACAGAATGATGAATTTACATCACAGAATGATGAATTTACATCACATATTGATGAATTTACATCACATAATAATGGATTTACATCACAGAATGATGAATCTACATAACATAATGATGAATTTACATTTCATGATGATGAATTTACATCACATAATGATGAATTTACATCTCATAATGATGAATTTACATCACATGATGAATTTACATTTCATAATGATGAATTTACATCACATAATAATGGATTTACATCACAGAATGATGAATCTACATAACATAATGATGAATTTACATTTCATGATGATGAATCTACATCACATAATGATGAACTTAAATCACAGAATGATGAATCTACATCACAGAATGATGAATTTACATCACAGAATGATGAATTTACATCACATAATGACGAATTTACATCACATACCGGTGATGATGAATTTACATCACATAATGATGCATTTACATCACATAATGATGCATTTACATCACATAATGATGAATTTACATCACAGAATGATGAATTTACATCACAGAATGATGAATTTAAATCACATGATGAATTTAAATCACAGAATGATGAATCTACATCAGATAATGATGAATTTACATCACAGAATGATGAATTTACATCACATAAAAATGGATTTACATCACAGAATGATGAATTTACATAACATAATGATGAATTTACATTTCATGATGATGAATTTACATCACATAATGATGAATTTACATCTCATAATGATGAATTTACATTTCATAATGATGAATTTACATCACAGAATGATAAATCTACATCACATAATGATGAACTTAAATCACAGAATGATGAATCTACATCACAGAATGATGAATTTACATCACAGAATGACGAATTTACATCACATACCGGTGATGATGAATTTACATCACATAATGATGCATTTACATCACATAATGATGAATTTACATCACATACCGATGATGATGAATTTACATCACATAATGATGAATTTACATCACAGAATGATGAATTTACATTTCATAATGATAAATTTACATTTCATAATGATAAATTTACATTTCATAATGATGAATTTTCATCACATAATGATGAATTTGCATCACATAATGATGAATTTACATCACATAACGATGAATTTACATCACATACCGGTGATGACGAATTTACATCACATAATGATGAATTTACATCACATAATGATGAATTTACATCACATACCGGTGATGACGAATTTACATCACATAATGATGAATTTACATCACATAATGATGAATTTACATCACAGAATGATGAATTTACATCACAGAATGATGAATTTACATCACAGAATGATGAATTTACATCACATATTGATGAATTTACATCACAGAATGATGAATTTACATCACGTAATGATGAGCTTACATCACATAATGATAAATTTACATCACAGAATGATGATTTACATCACAGAATGATGAATTTACATCACATAATGATGAATTTACATCACAGAATGATGAATTTACATCACATATTGATGAATCTACATCTCATATTGATGAATCTACATCTCATAATGATGAATTTACATCACAGAATAATGAATTTACATCACAGAATGATGAATCTACATCACATAATGATGAATTTACATCACAGAATGATGAATTTACATCACATAATGATGAATTTACATCACATAATGATGAATTTACATCACAGAATGATGAATTTACATCACAGAATGATGAATTTACATCACATAATGATGAATTTACATCACAGAATGATGAATTTACATCACATAATGATGAATTTACATCACAGAATGATGAATTTACATCACAGAATGATGAATTTACATTACATAATGATGAATTTACATCACATATTGATGAATCTACATCACATATTGATGAATCTACAACATTGAACAGCATATATGTAAAGACAATGTTTCAAATAAAAATTATTCATTATTTGATGTATGTAATTAGAAATAATTAACTCTGCAATATGCATGCACTTTGAATGAATACGTACCAGTAATTCACAATGTGTGTGATTTGAATTAATAGTACATACCGATAATCCATGATGCGACTGAACACATGTTTAATGAATAAATTGCCTAACCTTTATATACCGGCAACTTAGAGCGCAGCTTCACTGCTGCTTTCTTGGTAAGTTGTTCATTATTCGCCCTTGCCTTGAAATCACCTCGTTTTTGCAGGGAACTAGTTGAAATTTGTGCACAAAGTGCTGTCAACTGATAGTCTGCAAGAATATGAAAATATACACCAATTATCAACATTCATGTGAAATTTTCCTAGTGTAATTTGAGTGTACAAAAACATAACTTAACAAAAAATTTAGCAAAAAATTCTGGAAATTGCAAGTAAATTGCAAATTGCAACACATGGAGAAATGGATGACAGATGTAGTGACATGAACATGAAAATAAAAAAAAACACAAAAATACACATGGCTTTACATAAAGTAAGCACATAATTCTATGAACTGAGCTAGAAACAGAGACTTACCCACATCAAAGTCTCTGATATCAACCAATTTCAACTTTGTATTTTTCATATCTCCAACAGCTAATAGTATGGCTGCACCAACTCCACTTTTGTAATTACTAAATACGCTTTTTAATTTCTGGAAGTTCACTTTGTTGTCCTTAATTGGCAACATACAGCCGAAACTCATTGCCTCAAATGGCCAGTTCCAGACAAGCGTCCTGCAAACTAGCGTATGTTCACCGAGTACAGCGGCACATATCAGGGTTTCAAAGAGTACGGTTGGTATTAGAAAAATAGCCGACTCCACGCTACTGAGATCTTTAACCAGAACTGCAGCACTGATGTCCACTAATGGCTTGGGATTGACCATGCTTCCAAGCTTTGTGTTACCATAGAAACCACCGGCATTTTGATGTCTAAACAAGGTTGACATTATCCTAACTGCAATGGTTTTCTAGCTGCTCTAGTAGTGATTCATTTTTTATTCCATATCTGAACAAATAAATATAACAAGAAAAATATCAAAAATTGTACCAAGAAAAAATTTCTCTACGTGGATCAAATTCAACTGGCCAGCTCACATTAATTGTGGTTTAAGTGGTCTGTGTTTTCATTAATTTGGAGCATTCTAAACCCTATATTTATTAAAAACAAGCAGCCTGTCGGCTGAGATAGCTCCGCTGTTAGCAGTGCACATTTCAATTAAAGAACAGAAGATATCATTAGAAAATGAACAATATGTATAGTATCAAAGCAATGGGACTTTGGGATTTAAAAATATCACTTTTCACCAAAAATGACAAAAACAATCATCAAAATTACATAATAGAAGATATCACCATGAAATTAACAAATCTGAAAGAGGTCCACATGTAGTACCTATATATGTAATATAAAAACAATCAGACTTGCAAATTTTCAACGAGAAGTCGAAAATATCACTTTTTATCAAAAATGACAAAAATATTCATCAAAATTAGAGAATTGAAGATATCATTACAAATTGAACAAATCTGAGAGAGATCCACATGTAGTACCTATATATGTAATATCAAAGCAATTGGACTTGCGGTTTTTAACAAGAAGTTGAAAATATCACTTTTTACCAAAAATGACAAAAATATTCACCAAAATTAGAGAATTAAAGATATCATTACAAAATGAACAAATCTGAGAGAGATTCACATGTAGTAGCTATATATAGGTAATATCAAAGCAATTGGACTTACGGTTTTTAACAAGAAGTCGAAAATATCACTTTTTACCAAAAATGACAAAAATATTCACCAAAATTAGAGAATTGAAGATATGATCATGAAATGAACAAATCTGAGAGAGGTCTACCCAAGGTACATATTCACCAAGTATCAAAGCATTCAGGCTTGTAGTTTTCAAGAAGAAGTCGAAAAAGTAAAACATTGACACGGACGCTGGACACCGGACGACGCCGGACAATCACTCATATGATAAGCTCCGCTCGACAAAGTCGACAGCGGAGCTAAAAATGTCAAATTTACACCAGGTTTCATAAAGGCATGAACCTGTTTTATGAACATGTATAAATTATTATGTACTGTAGAATACTTTATTTTCGCTTGGAATTTATTTTCGCTATTTTCGCTGAAGGGATGATTCCGTGAAAATAAAATCCAGCGAATATACTTTTTTTCCTATATTTCCCATTAAACTCATCAACAAGCAGCCTGTCGGCTGAGATAGCTCCGCTGTTAGCAATGCACATGGCAATTAAAGAACAGAAGATATCATTAGAAAATGAACAAATCTGAGAGAGGTCCACATGTAGTACCTATATGTATAAAATTGGTTTGAAATAAAATTAGATTTATTTGCTTTTTTGATAATGGTTTGCACAACAATCCTATAGTTATCTAACAATGACAAGGGTCTACTTGTCAGGAATATAACTGAGTAAAAATTTCACATGAATACATAT